CAACATCCAAACGAATATCTTCATCCTCCTCAATCGTGTCTTCTTGTATGTCTTCTTCTTCCTCATCACTTAAATCCAAGCTCTCCATCTTGTGAGCAATCACACTCTCTTCAAATTGTGAATAAGCATCAAATATTACACTAAAGTCCCTCACAGTTACTACTGTTGTCATACCCTCCTCAAAAATATCTCTAGCCTTCTCAAACAAACTTCTCCTAATGTAATAATCAGCAAGCGAAGTCCATAGCCTTCCTACCTCATCTGTAAACTTTCGTATCCCACCTCTAATTATTGCATCCACATTAAGCCCCGAAACCTCCGTCGCATGCGTTGTAAGCAGGTCACACAACTCCAACCACAGTCTGTGTTTCGTCTTACCTTTTATTGAATAAAAGGTCTCATCATTCAAAACAGAAGCTAACCTCTCTGCGGCCTCTTGCCACAGACTTGAATTCAGCAAAAACTCAATGAAATCTTCAATGCGAGAAGGATCATACTTCAAGTACCTCCTATAAACCCTCAGTGAGGTCTCAATAGGGATACCTTTCTGGCTCACAAATACCAACTAAGGATCCCAAATCCTGTCATGCTGAGTCACTGGCAACGCACAGAGAGCCCTGTCAAAAGTCCTACGCGTTCTAGTAATCAACTTCTGTTCTGTCAGGGTCTATAAGTACATTATCCATATCCTGGGCATCTTGTGCATTGTAACAAGAGCTCTTTCAAACGTATTGTTAAGGGTGTCATACTTGGGATGAGTAACGGGTAGATTTCTAACAATTTCAAGGCGTTCTCGCAGATACGCATGCCATAGCTTGTAGCTACCAGGAAGAGCTTTAAGTGCGCTTCATAGATTATGAAACGGTTACTGAAAGGAGCTTCTGACTTAGCAATCAGATAACGCCACCACAACTTCAGACTAAAAGGGTTGCGTAAGATCTCCTCGTAGGGGAGGTCCTCTTGAGATGGGTAAAGTTCTTTTGAGATCGACATAGAGCAGAGAAAAAAATAAAGCCCTAAAACCTTCTCAGAAAGGTAGAGATACTGACCTGGTCGAAAATTAGGAAACAGAGATTAACTTCCCCAGACGCTTAAGCCCTACAGCTGCCGTCGCACATGGTGGTGCAAATCCGAGATGAAAACGAAGGAATAAGGTCGGCTAAGGACAAAAACGAAATCGAGGGGCCAAAGGAGAAACTAGACGTGGAAATCCCTAATGAGAAAAAAAAGAGGACTCTACAGGGTTTTCGGTCGTCGTTGGTGAGATTTCTCTGGCGGGGCTTTTGATTTTTGTGTTCTTCACAAGAAACGTTATTTTCTTGCTCAAAACATACAACAATGGCGTCTGCTTGATGCACTGCTCAAAAGTCCAAAATATCCTTCCCCTGCATGTTTAAATTTCAGAATCAAGATTGACAAAATGTTAATTTCGTTAATAATTCTTTCTGTATATTCCAATGTTTTTGGACCCGGCCCGGCCCGGCCGGTTGAACCGGTTGAACCGGACCCGGGCTTAAAAACAGGCTGGGCCAGTACCTTAGCCCGTTTTGCAAGTTCGCCCGTTTTGGCCCACTGGTGCCCGCCCAACCCGCCGAAACCGCCTAACCCGCCTAACTCGCCTAACTCGCCGGGCTAAATGAATTTGGGTTTTCACTTTTTAATAACTTCATGAATTTGAGGTTTTACTTTTTAATGACTTTACTTAATATTAATTAAATTAATTTATTTGATTTTTAATATAATTACCCACACCATTAACTTTAATCAAAAATTAAAATCTCAAATCAATTAAAAAAACAAAACTCTCGCTGCAAATTGCAAAAGCAAACCAAAAAATCAAAAACAAAAGAGAGGAGGGAAGAGAAGAACAGCACCACCAGACCACCAATACCACGCACTAGTGACCACCGCCGGCCTTTCCCTGCCCGATCTTAACCACCTCCGTCTGCGGCTTCCAGTTCTTTGTGTCTGTGCAGAAGCAAAACCAGAAAACAAGCCCTTCATCTCTGTGCAGAAGCAGCTAGAAAGCAGAAAGAAAACAGAGTAGCGAAGTCACTGTTGGCCAACTACCTCCCCGATCTCAACCGTCGGCGACTCCACAACTACCTTCCCGGATCTCAGCCCTTCGCGTAAGGATGATAAGCTACCCCCATCCCCTTCCTCACCTCTGTTCCGTCGGCTAAAACATCGGCACCCATGACGACTTTGCCATCGACGGGAACCAGTGGGTACAGCCGCATGCTCTCGCAGAGACAAGCGTGGGTATAAATCATGTCTTTCACTTCTTCGAAAATCGACGAATCGAATTTCTCCTAGATTTCTTTCAAAATTTCCAATTCAACTTCTGGGTGTTGAGAAATCAACCAGAAAAACCACGTTAGCGCCGTCGATCTCGTGTCCCTGCTGGCAAGAATGAAGTAAAAGTGAAAGACAATATATAAATGTAAAATCTAATAAGAATGTAAAACGAAAAATGTTTTTTAATCAACCGGTTGAACCGGTCGGGTGAACCGGTTCAACCGTTGAACCAGACCCGGTGGCCAAAACGGGTCAGCACCGGGTCGGGTACAAAAACATTGGTATATTCTATTTGTTGTTAACTAGGTGGTCGATCGCTGAGAGTTGAGAAGCCGAAACGGCACGAGACGATGGAGAGCACGTGGAAAATGATTACGGAGAAGAAGGAAATGCCGTTATCGAGGCACCTGAAGAAATCAGAGACGTTCGAGGACACATGAGAGAATTAGGTGAACGTGGATTCGCTCGCTGAGCCGTCGCCGGTGGTGAAGAAATCGGAAACGTCCAAGGACCAGACCAATTTCCAGATGTCACCGGTGCAAGTGAGCTCGTCCCCGGCTTCAGTATTGAAGCTGAGAAAGGAACCGTTGCTGAGTCAGGACGAGTAGAATCGACGAGTTGAGGCATTTATAAAAAGTTCAACGAGGAGGTGAGGTTGTTGAGGTTGGAATCGCTTAATCAGTACCAAGGAAATGATTAACCGTGGAAACCACTGAATTAATCGAAGAGTAATTACGAGTACTAATTGTTACTAGTATCATATAGAGCAGATAAAGGTACTGTTTGGATCAGTTTTTAGGAATTTTAACTTTTGAATATTATTTATATTTTATAAATTTAAATTTTTTTTAAAAAACTTTATATTTTTAAATATTTTTTTAACCTTAAAAAACTCTTAAACAGTACAAGTTTAAAAGTTTCAAATTCAAACTTATCATAAACTTCATTTTTACTTATTTTTCACTCATTTTTTCACCTTTTTAAAAGTTAAAACTCTATTTTTCTTTTAATAAAAATTTAAATTTATCACTCATAACAGTACTCAAAAAGCAAAACCTCTCACAAGTCACACCAAACCGACTCAAAATATGTTTTGGTCCTTTTGGGAAAAAGAAAAACATATTATTGATTCCAAAAAAACAAAGGGGAAAAGAACCGGAAATATGTTAATTAATTTTTCTAATTTTGTTTTCTCCAATAGGTTCAACGTTGGAGTTACTAAAAAAACAAAAGTCCTGAAATTTTTTTCCTTTTTTAACTTGGATTTCATAAGTAGATGTGGTTTGAAAATTAGTAAGATCATAGAAATGTTTGTAAAGGAATATAACAAGTAGATGTAATGTGTTTCATATATATGAGTGAAATGATGTT